TGGAACAAAACTCACTTAACAAATGTCTCACTTGGCAATAGAAATTTCGGACTCAATTGTGGTTGTAAGGTAAGAACTACTGGCATTGGTTTAATATTTTGGCATTTTAACATGCCTGCTTGCTTGCCTCCGTGCCTGTCTATCATCTCCTGTCAGTATTATAATTTGATATCTCATCATACAAATATTTCTGTAAAGTATGTATTTAAAAAAATGTTCTTAACCGAATCCTACTTCTAACTTAACTTGCTTTAAGGTCAAATCAGTCAGCTATAGAATGACAAGTGTTAATTAAACCTGCAAGAATCTCTCTGCTTCAGCACGGATGATACTCAGCTCTTGAGAAATACCTTCCCACCCTCTTATCAAATGCCTTGGAACACACCCTGGTTTTATTCATGCTGAATTTAAGCACTACATTTTTGTTTCCTAAAATAAAAAATTCTTTGTTGAACTGGATTATGCAAAAGAGAGCTTTTCAGACATGATTTGAGTTCTCCTATTTAATTGGCAACTGCGGATTTGCCCAGTATCAACATCTTAAGAGTTATCATTCACTCTTGTACTTTTGCTCCCTAATTTTTGTTTCATTTGAATCCAAAGATTTATTTTTAGTCAATCCTCTTTAAAACCTTTCAATAACTGCCTTCAGTATTTTTCAGGCTGTTTAAGCGGTGTGGTTTTGTTTAATTTGATCGAATCCTACTAAGGAAAAAGATAATTAGCTTTGCAAGTCGCTTCTTAAAGATGAATGCTAATGAACCTGATATGGTGGTCACAGTTGCACTTGGCTATGTATATACAGAATTCTGTATAAATTAATTACAAACTCAAGAAGTTAAACGGCTGGGTCCTTTTTGAGCCTTGAAGCCAATTTTTGTTGTTGTCATTCTCGCAGCCTCCTTCGCACAGGCTCTTAAAAGACAATTTAAAGCAAAGAACAGAAATAAGTGGGGGGGGGGGAAAGTTTTTCAGACAGGGTGTATAGAACTACAGTGGCTTCCTGGAGACATCGTATCCGGAATTAATTTGGGTTGTATTTTGGATTCAGGCAATTGTTTTGGTAAAGTGACATTTCCACTTCCTTCTGAAACATTGCCTTGTAAGTTAAATAAAAAGCAGATGCCTGCATTGATTTATTTTTGTTCTTGAAAACTGTTTTTAGTGCGAGAGTATGGAATATAAACAGTGAAGGCCAGTCCAATTACAGATCTAAACGGTCTGCTTTTTTTGTTCTTCCTTAAAGGATTAATCCTAGATAGTTATTGCATTTTATATCTCCTTTTCTCTGAGAGCTTAAGAGTGCACGGGTATCCAGGGGTGGGCTGCTGGGGGTTTGCAGAGATTTGGGAGAACCTCTAGCTAAGATTCTGTGCAGTTTGGAGAACCCCCAAATCCCATTCCTGGCTGGCCCCGCCCACCCTGCCCCTCCTCTCCCAGGAGTCCCCATGTGGCCCGTTTTGGATGCAGGTAAGTGCAGGGCGCACGCAGAGGCTCAGGGAGGGAGAAAAACGGGCCTACCGGAAGTTCGGGAAAGCCAGAAATGGGCCCGTTTCCAGCCTCCAGAGGGCCTCTGGAGCCTGGGGAGGCTCAAAGAAAGCCTCTGGAGTCCGGGGGTGGGGAGGCAAAAACGCCCCACCTGCCGTGATGCAGAAGGCCGACTAGGCCACGCCCACCATGGCCACCCCCACTCAGCAACTGGGCAGAGAACCCCTTGCTAAAATTTTTGAAGTCCATCCCTGCAGGTATCCCCCTTCATTTCATCCCCCCAAAAATCCCTAGGTTGGGATGAGAGAGATTTTGAGAGAGCTTATGCACCGGAGAAATTTCCTTGTGTGTCCAATCACCCTTGGCCAATAAAGAAAATATTCTATTCCATATTCTAACTCAGCTTAGTCACCCAGTGTGCTTTTTAGTCAAGTTAGGACTAAAATTTGGGTCTCCCCGTTTTTTAGCTCTTAGCCATTGTGCTACATTGATTGCTATGAAGAGGGTATTATTTGCCCCAACTCTATAAACCTCTGTGGGAAGAAATATCCATTCTGGGTTCAGTTCCAAGCTGGGAGAAAGACACTGAAAACATGGAGGCTGATTGGAAAGATGGTTTAATGATGAAGCAGAAGCACATGGGTTCTGGTGTAGCTGACCACATGGAGTTGAGAGTGGGGAGGGGGGTTTATACCTTCTCTTGGGCTTTGCACTTGAGCTTCCTGTTCCTGTGCAAGAACACGTATTCTATTGGCTGTTGTCAGACTCCCATGGGGCCATGTAGGGGTTATGTAGGAGTCACAGCTGGCTCTATAGGCAAAGTACAAATCTTAGGTGTTTGTCTGAGCTAGGTTTGGTTGAAGTTTCTGAGGGTGGTGCAGTGAAGGGGCTTGTGTTCTGAAAGGGTGTTGGGCAATTCCTATTGTGGCTTAATAGTTTTTTTCCTGAAGGGTAATCCTGTCATCCTGGATCTGAAGATCTCTTGTTTTGTAGATAGGCTGGCCCAGTCTTTCCTAATGGGCAGAAAATATCTGCTGGGGGCTATTAAGACTGAGTCTGCTTCCTGCCTCTAAAAAAACACCTTTCTCCATTTCTCATTTAGGGAAATATAATATTCTGCCTTTTTAAAATATGCCTCAAAATATTTAATTCTTCTAGGAGGGGGGGTGCTGACTTTCTACACCTCCTATGATGCTATCATTGTCTTCTCCTTCTGACCCTCCTCTCTACCCCATGTGCTCAGATACCAGCTGTTGCCGCATCTTGAACTAGATCTGTCACTAAGAAAAGAAATGTTCTTGATTGTTAATGGGCGAAAGTCACCCCGGATGACTCATTTCATCACGGAGTTTCAGCCATCCCTGCTTCTTTGAGCTTTCATATTTTTCTTAACTCTCGGGGTGGGGAGGAACAGCATATTTTCTTTTTGAAGCTGCATGGCTGCAATATTGTTGCTGCCTACAAACTTCCCTTTGAGGTTCTCCTAGCAGCTTTACTTCGGACTGGAAGCAGGAGGAGAGGACATGTTTTTCAGTCAGGGGTGCATTGCTTCAAAACCATTTAGAAAATTCGCTACTTCATTTGTTTTTGTTTCGCACACATTTTGGGATTCTTCGGAACATTTTTACGTCTGTAAAAACATTGGTGTTAATCGCTGCTGCCCGTCATGTGTACTCCTGGTTTTCAAAAGTCACTGCAGGAAGACCAATATAGTGTAATAATGCATCACATGAGAACCTGGACACATCACAGCATCTGAATACTCTTTTTCCAAGGTTTTATTGATTGTTCTGCGAAGTGCTAGTCCTGTGATGGCGAACCTATGGCATGCATGCCACAAGTGGCACGCGGAGCCATATTGGTGGGCATGCGAGCTCAGCTCCGTTTTTGGGCCTTCTGTGCCCACCAGAAGTAGGGAAACAGGCTGTTTCCAGCCTCCAGAGGGCCTCGGGGGTGGGGAAGGCCATTTTCGCCCTCCACAGGCTCCTAGAAAGGCTCTGGAGTCTGGGGAGAGCAAAAAACAGGCCTTCCGGTCCCACCAGAAGTTGGCAAATGGGCCGTTTTCACCCTCCCCAGGCTCCTAGAAAGGCTCTGGAGCCTGGGGAGGGTGAAAAACGGGCCCACCGTGCCATCGCATGCCAAAAGCGGGGGGAGTGCAGGGGTGGGGTTGCATGCTCATGTGCGGGAGGGCGGGGCATATAGAATTATGGGTGTGGGCACGCGCACACGCAAACCCCCCCCCCGCATTCCCCCGCTTTTGGCACACAATGGCAAAAAGGTTAGCCATCACTGTGCTAGTCGGTGGTGTTTTGCTTGACTGGTGGTTCCTTTACTGTTGATGGTTGATCCTAAAAGGCAGAAGCTATCCAACCACTTCAGCATTCTTCATTGCCAGGTCTAAGGCTGGTTGTTGTACCTGTGATCATTAATTTGGTCTTGTTTACATGTTAATCCCATGTTTTCACTCTGTTTCTTGAATGTAGATCCTTTCTTTTTCAGCTACTGGGGTAGTATCATCCACATAATGCAGGTTATCGATGTTTCTTCTTCCAGTTTTAAAACCACACTCATCCTCTTCCTATCGAGCTTGGGCTGAATAAATATCCAGCATGTAGATTTTAAAGTAGTCCATCAGAAATCACCCTGGCTAGCTCAGGAAGGGAGACAGTTGTGTGATGGGTAGATGGTACACTAATATTATCCTTCTATTATCCCAGCCACATAAATAACAGAAGCAGACACTATAATATTGGCAGAGTGTAGGATGGAACTTGTGGTTTCTGAACTGGCAGACAGAAAGATTGACTCGCCTCTTATTCAAATCTCTGTGATACGTGCCAGGTCAATGCTTTCATAGAGGATTAACTCCTGGGTGATAGTCGTTCTACCAGCAGCTGAGCTAGCATTACAATTTGTTTATGTGGTTTAATAATTATTTAATAAACAATGTATTATTTCAGGGAAGAGAGGGGTGTACTGTAGGCTTCTGATTAGGTTACCTATAACATTTTTCCCTTCCGCATTGGTGTTTGGCTTGACTTCTTTCTTTGGCGCTTCTAAACTATTGTACAGAATTTGTCAGACAAACACATCTGGTGGCTTTGTTTTTCCTGAAAACTGTCACTTTAGAGCAGGAGGGTCAAACTCAAGGCCCGCAGGCTGGATCCGGCCCGCTGGGCGCTTAGATCTAGCCCGAGGGGCCACCATGGAAACAGCCAGGGACCGGCCCACGGTGCCTCTACTAGTGAAAATGGAGGCAGAGAATGGATGGGGGTGGGGCCAGTCAGAGGTGGTATTTGCCGGTTCTCCAAACTACTCAAAATTTCCACTACCGGTTCTCCAGAACCAGCTGAATACCACTTCTGGCACGGTCCTTAGTTTGCAATGCTTGAGGCAAGAGTGAGAGGGCTCTGCTGGTTCCTAAAATGGCTTTCTTGTCTGACGAAAGAGGATAGTGTGGCACAGCTTCTCCATTTTTTACTAATGTCTTTTCCCCCCTTATTTTTCCACAGGCTGGCAGTGATGGCGAAAGCATAGGCAACTGCCCCTTCTCTCAGAGGCTCTTCATGATACTGTGGCTCAAAGGAGTGGTCTTTAGCGTCACAACAGTTGACTTGAAAAGGTAAGGAACTTGCTGTTCTTAGGAACCTCTTACTCTACAGCAGTGCTGAAATCCAATTTTTTTTGCTACCGGTTCTGTGGGCGTGGCTTGGTGGGCGTGGTGTGGCTTGGTGGGCGTGGCAGGGGAAGGATACTGCAAAATCCCCATTCCCTCCCCATTCTTGGGGGAAGGATACTGCAAAATCTCCATTCCCACCCCACTCTGGGTCCAGCCAGAGGTGGTATTTGCCGGTTCTCCAAACTATTCAAAATTTCCGCTACCGGTTCTCCAGAACCTGTCAGAACCTGCTGGTTTTCATCCCTGCTATACATGTAGTCCTCGATTACAACGACAATTCAAATCAAATTTTAAAAAAAATTGAGCCCAAAATTTCGGTTGCTAACAGTCTGTTAAGTGAGTTTGGCCCCATTTTATGACTTTTCTTGCCATTAAGTGAATCACTGCAGTTTAGTAACACAGTTGTTAAGTGAATCTGGCTTCCTCCACTGACTTTGCTTGTCAGAAGGTCGCAAAAGGTGATCACGTGACCCTGGGACACTGCGACTGTCATAAATATGAACCAGTTGCCAAGCATCCAAATTTTGATCACGTGATTACAGGGATGCTACAATGGTTGCAAATATTAAAAACAGTCATAAGTCACTTTCTTCAGTGCTGTTGTAACTACGAACCGTCACTAAATGAATGGTTGCAAGTCAAGGACTACCTGGATCTGGTTTCCTGTGACAGTTTTAGGTATTTCTTTGAATTGTAAAACGTCGGCACATGATTGTGGGACGCTGCAAACGGTCGTCAACACGGCCTGCTTACTGAACACTCAAAGTGCAGTTGTCCTTCAGGAGACACTGTTTGGATGGCAAACACCAGTGGATCCCACTGAGACTTACAGGCTAGGATAATTTTAATGGCACCTCTGTTCACTGCTCCAGGTTAATGTCACTCTCAAGCTCTACCTTAATAGTTTCGTAAAGGTAAAGGTTTCCCTCACACATATGTGCTAGTCAGGGGTGGGTTCTAAATTTTTTTTACTACCGGTTCTGTGGGCGTGGCTTATTTTGTGGGTGTGGCTTGGAGGTCATATGACTAGGTGGGTGTGGCTAGCTGGTCAGAGTCATTTCTGGAAGGTCCTCGCACTTACGACCAGTCCTTGCACTTACGACCTGACTCATTTGTTTGCTTTTAACACTGATCAGCTGTAGGACGGCCCTTTGAAGCTCGGTGGCAAGAATTTAAACAGTTTTTTTCCCTCTAGTCATCAGCTGGGACTCAGGAAGCAGCAATAGATTGGGGGTGGGACCAAATAAAAGGTAAGAATAACGGGGGTGGGGGGGGAGAACCGGTTCGGTGACGTCATATCGTCACCTCTACTGGCTCGGCCGAACCGGACCGAACTGGGAGGAACTCACCACTGGTGCTAGTCATTCCTGACTCTAGGGGATGATGCTCATCTCCGTTTCAAAGCTGAAGAGCCAGCGCTGTCCAAAGACGTCTCCGTGGTCATGTGGCCGGCATGACTAAATGCCAAAAACGCACAGAACACTGTTACCTTCCCACCAAAGGTGGTCCCTATTTTTCTCCTTGCATTTTTTACGTGCTTTCAAACTGCTAGGTTGGCAGAAGCTGGGACAAGTAACGGGAGCTCACCCCATTACGCGGCACTAGGGATTCGAATTGCTGAACTGCCGACCATTCGATCGACAAGCTCAGCATCTTAGCCACTGAACCACCGCATTTCTTAACAGGATGTAAATGATTTCGGTAGAAACCACTCTAATATTGTCTGCTACGTTGCTTATTTTGAAGCTTACAGCTTGGCAAGGCACTCATTCCCTCCCCGAGCGTCCCCGGTCTTTGCAGTGCCTAGTATGGAATCCAAAGGAATTTAGGGAGCCTTCATCCCGATACCAGCAGCATTCTGTTCTTCCACCGTGTCACTTTCAAAGCAGATTGTCCCAAAGGCCAGCTGGTTCTCCCCCTTCTCCCCTGCTGAACTGATACTGGGGTTGTCTTATTCATCTCACACCCTGAAGCATGAAAGGAACAGATTAATAACATCGAAAATACAGTGTTGGACAATTGTTCTATCAGTGGGGTCATTGCTCTCTTGACAGCATGCCTGTTTATGCCACATGGAACTTTTCCCAGGAAGTCAAAAAGAAAAGGGAAGGACTCTTAATTGATGGAGGCAGTCTTTCCAATTACTGCACTGCTGACACCACGAACTCTGACCCCCCAAAAATGCCATCCACTAAATGGACACAAACCAGCAACTCCGCAGTGCTGTTTATCTCCATTGTTCATTTGTTATTAGTTGCGAAGTCGTGCCCCACCCATCGCGACCCCATGGACAATGTTCCTCCAGGCCTTCCTGTCTTCTACCATCCGTTTAAGTCCATTTAAGCTCACTCCTACTGCTTCAGTGACTCCATCCAGCCACCTCGTTCTCTGTCATTCCATTCTTCCTTTGCCCTCGATCTTTCCCAGCATTAGGCTCTTCTCCAGTGAGTCCTTCCTTCACATTAGATGCCAAAGTATTTCAGTTTCATCTTCAGGATCTGGCCTTCTAAAGAGCAGTCAGGGTTGATCTCCTCTAGGACTGACTGGTTTGATTGCCTTGCAGTCCAAAGGAACTCGCAGGAGTCTTCTCCAGCACCAGAGTTCAAAGGCCTCAATTTTTTGGTGCTCAGCCTTTCTTATGGTCCAGCTTTCACAGCCATACATTGCAACTGGGAAAACCATAGCCTTGACTATACGCACTTTTGTTGGCAGGGTGATGTCTCTGATTTTTAGTATGTTGTCTAACTTTGCCATAGCTTTCCTCCCCAGGAAATTCCACTGTTCATGGAATGAGAGAAATGGTGGGGGAGATAAAGACTTTCTTTGGGGCTGTTGATGTTCATGGGAAATCATTTGAGCCGTTCTCCACTATGAGGGCTTCTCTCTTTTTGAAGTTTTGGATTAAAGTGAAATTATCTAAGCCTTTCCAGCTTTGTGACCTTGGAACAGGTCCTCCTGGCTTGAAATGCCTTTATAACTTTGAATGGTCACTAAACGAAAAGTTGTAAATCGAGGACTAACTGTAGGTTGCTATTCATGCACACACATGTGATCTCATTTCCTCGTTCCCGCCATGGGCATAGAACCTGCATGCATGAATGCCCAGAGATCAGGATGACAGGTTGGTTGATCTGTCATCATGTCTCTGTTCATTCATGCATGAATAGCTTAAGTGATAGGAACGATGATTAGGAAAGCGAGGTGTGTGAATTTGTGATGCCAAGCCAGAGAAGTTGCACTCATTTCTGAGAAAAATGGCTAATATACTTAATGCCGTGGCCTGTCGGCAGCCGGCCCCTCCAGCAACCGAATCAGATGAGGCAGTGTGGGAGACAGGGCCAGCATCAAGGCAACCTGAGAGCTCCGAGGGGGAAGAGGGAATGGAGCCGTCAGAGATAGAGACAGAGGCAGAGCCTGGGCCATCCATCAGCCCTCAGATGGAGAGTCAACAGCCCCCAGGTCTTTAGGTGGCTGATGAGAAAGAGGAGGAACAGCTGGGTCCAGCGTCTGATGCGCAGATGTGCAGAAGACAGAGGAGAGGAGAGCAGTGGAAATCTATGGGCCGATCCTTGGACGGAAGAGCTACCGCTGCTAGCGAAGCCCCACCCTAGTTCTGGGGATAAAAGGCAGGGGGGCAGAGATGAATGGGTGTGGCAGACAATATTCATCTCTCTGCCGGACAGACTTGTTATCCTGCTGTGAGAGAGAGAAAAACTTTTTGCCGGGGCTGCTGGCACTCCTAATAAAGGGAACATTTATTTACCGTATTTTTCAGAATATAAAACGCACCAGAGTACAAGACTCACCTTAGTTTTTGGGGAGGAAAATAAGCAAAAAGCTGATTGGTGGGTGGTTCGGCCTCCCGGAATACCCCCAATCAGCTGTTCCCAGAGGTGAATTTTAGCAACAGGTTTGTTGGTTGTGAGCTCTGTGCCTTGCTTTTTTTTCTGCTTCTCAAACTTCTGAAACTCTGTTTCAGAAAAAAACTTTTTTTTCTGCCTGTGAAAGCCTCCGAAACAGAGGCTTTTATTCTGAAGGAGTATCTGTACCCTGTTTGATCTCCTTTCTTTGGTATTGGTATATAGATTAACCTCTTCCGATCAGTTGGTTATTGTGTCATTCTCCAGATTCGTTAGCATAGTTTGGTTAGAACCTTTACTGATTCTTCTTTTGTTGCTTGCCATATTATTTTAGATAAAAGCCTCTGAAGCTCTGTTTGGAGGCTTTTTTCCTGAAGCTTCGTTTCTGAGGCTTTTTTTCCGAAGCTTCTATCAGAGGCTTCTTTCAGCCTCTGAAATCTCCGTTTGCGAGGCTGGGCGGGGCTACATTCGGATTATAAAATGCATCCAGATTTTCACCCTCTATTCGGGGGGAAGAAGGTGCATCTTATACTCTGAAAAATACGGTAACTACAGAGGGTTTGTCATGTTTGGGAGCCAGGTCCGAACACTTAATTTCACATTTGTATAACATTGACAATTGTGAACTATCAGAAAAACAAAACTTTATTGCCAGATCGAAAACTCATGCTTTTGACTCGCTGTGGACTTTCTATTCCTGGGTCTTCGTTTGTGCAATAACCGCTCCCATTTCCTTAAAAGGGAAAACTCATTCTCCCCCCCCCCTTTTTTTTTTTTAAATTTGATTTATGTGCTGCCCTTCTCCGAAGACTCAGGGCGGCTTACAATGCGTTAGGCAATAGCCTTCATACTTTTGTATATTTATACAAAGTCAGCTTATTGCCCCCACAAACCGGGTCCTCATTTTACCTACCTTAGAAAGGATGGAAGGCTGAGTCGACCTTGAGCCTGGTGAGATTTGAACTTGCAGTAATTGCAGGCAGCTGATGTTAATAACAGTGCTTTATTTATTTTTATTTATTTATTTATTTATTAAATTTTTATACCGCCCCCTCTCCCGAAGGACTCGGGGCGGTGAACAGC